ATATATCAGATGCCCTTCCCAGAGGCGTGTCTGGTACTGATGTAATTATACAGCAGACACTATACTTTGAGACTTACAATCCTTGAGCACATATACGTATGTTGTTTTAAAGCCGTACGTTGCGCATATGAAACCGGGGTCTACCATCTCGCTGATATTACTAACTCAGTAAAGAACTTTGCTGATATAAAGATTTTGCGGTCTTACTGAATTCCAAATCAAGCAGTAAAATCATCCAAGGAAATCTAGCATCCAATAAAAGCCGACAAATATCACACGGCATTCCTCGCGTTCGAACGAAACCGGGACTAATGTGCACTCGCTGTTTCATGGGTTCATCTAATTAGTGATTGCGCCATAGCTACGAATTCCCTTTGCTGATTACGTGCCACATTCATCAGTCTCTCTTTCTCTCTCTCTCTCTCTGGCACTTTCTGTCTGTTTTCTTCTGCCTCTGTCTGTGTCTCTCTCTTATTTTGTGCATGTGTCGCTCTTCTTTCTGTCTCTTTCTGGCTATCTGTCATTATCTCTCTGTCTCTTTCTATTTTTCTGTCATTTTTTTCTGTCTTTCTCCCATAGTTTTTGCTTGCTTCTCTCTCTCCCTCCCTCCCTTCTTCCCTCCCTCCCTCCCTCCCTTCCTCCTTTATTCCCTCCTTCCCCACTCTCTCTCTCTCTCCCCTTCTACCCCACCTCTCTCTCTCCTCTCTCTCTCTCTCTCTCTCTCTCTCTCTCTCTCTCTCCTCTCTCTCTCTCTCTCTCTCTCTCTCTCTCTCTCTCTCACTCTCTCTCTCTCTCCCCTTCTACCCCCACCTCTCTCTCTCTCTCTCTCTCTCTCTCTCTCTCTCTCTCTCTCTCTCTCTCTCTCCTCTCTACTCCTCCCCCCTTTCTCTCTCTCTCTCTCTCTTCCTACCCCCCCTCTCTCCCCTCCTACCCCCCTCTTTCTCTCTCCCTTCCTACCTCCCCCCTCCTCTCTCTCTCCCTCTCTCTCTCTCTCAACGCAGAACCCTGACAATGAATAGTACATTCACGTAATAAAAAGAACAGAGGATTTTTTATTTACTCTTTGCATTGATATCTTCCGCGTATCTCTGAGAAAGTTTCACATCTTCAAAAGTTTTATTTTTTATTTGATTCATAACTGTTATTGTTTGAATTATTTCATACTATGCGAAACCCACCATACCTCGTATATTATCCCTGTCCTTTTTTATAATCTTTCTTACTTTTTCTAATGTTACCATCATCGATAATGTTACTATTATTATAACTATAATTATCGCATCTTTATCATCGCCATCATCATCACCATCACTATCATCATCATCATTATCACCACCGTCATCATAAACATAACTATCACTACAATCATCATTATTACAGTTATCATTATCACTATTATTAGTAGTAAACTTAAAAACAGTATTAACAGTAACGGTAGTATCATTATCATTATAATTTTATCATTATCATTATTATCATTATTTTTACGTTCCTTTACCAAATTTCTTTTACATGATTCATCTTCGTAATCACCATATTTTTAAAGTGATATCTTGATATCTTATCGCATATCATGCATTCACTGTAAGATCCGGTTTCACATTAATACAAATTCCATTCTTGTGGCATGGAACTTCCGGAAACCTAGTACAGAACTACCCTTCTAGATCGGTCTTGAGAACTACTAAATTAAAATGATCAGATAGTGGTGTTGAGCATGATGTTGATGGTGATGGTGATGATGATGACTATGATGATGATGATGATGGTAATGGTGATGATGATGATGATGATGGTGATGATGATGTTGGTGTTGATGATGGTGATGATGATGATGATGGTGATGATAATGATAATGATGACGATAAGGCTACTGCTGTGATGTTGATGATAGTAATGATCCCATTCATAAACATACCTAGCACATTACGCAACCCATCGGCACTGTGATTGACACTTGCAGAAGAGCCTAAAAACGAACACTTAGATATAACCGTTATATCTTGGAATCTCTCAAGCATCTACACCCCGCCTTTTTAGTGTCTCGTAACAGAATACCTGCCCATAGCGCCCGATGTATATGATTTTCGTACCTGTCTCTGTATGTTGCGATTCGAGTACACACACACACACATACTCATATATATATATGTATATATGTATGTAAATATATGTGTGTATATATATATATATATATATATATATATATATATATATATATATATATATGTACATATATATATATGTTTGTAAGTGGTTCTGTTTGATATGTGTGTGTGTGTGTGTGTGTGTGTGTGTGTGTGTGTGTGTGTGTGTGTGTGTGTGTGTGTGTGTGTGTGTGTGTGTGTGTGTGTGTGTGTGTATGTATATATATATATATATATATATATATATATATATATATATATATATATATATATATGTATATATATATATATATCCCACACAACCACTAAAAAGCCTACTAACAAATTCCCAAGCACACTGAGCCAGGTCCGTC